GATGACTGCACAGTCCAGGAAAGCCAGCCGGTTGTCTTCCCTGGTGAATTTGATATTTAGGTCCACTGTGTTTATGTGGTCTGTGAAGGCCTGTACTTCCTGAGTCTTGATCTTTGCCCAGGTGTTGTCCACACACCTGAACCAATGGGTCAGAGTCATCCCCTGGAAGGTGTTTAGTGCCTTCTTTTCCACTTCTTTCATGTATAAGTTGGCAACAACCCATGGCACAGCAATGTTTCTGTCTGTAAGAGTCAGGACATTGCCTTATTAAAGGCCCATTCTGGATATCCAACATGGAGGATCAGGGGCCTCCTACCAACTCTCTTCAGACGGAAGAAGCTGCTTGGAGTAGCCAAATGTTTCAACCTAACAAGAAAGAAGTCCGGTCGCCATGACTCAGCTTCCAGATCAAATCCTAGGGTTTGCGGGGTGGAGCTATGCCGGTTAAACTGTTACTGTATAACAGTTTAGCGTAGATACTGTTTTTTAGATTAAATTGGAACCTTGTGCACAATTAATCAGGGAATTACTCCCTTTGAATTCAGTGGGTCAAAGGCTGCAAACCTAAATTCTCCTTCTCTTATGTTAGCCCCTCTGAACACAGTGGGTTTTACTTTTATACAAACTTGCACGGAATACAAACTAATTCCGTTGTTCTTTCTCAAGAAATATATATCAGATCCTGAAGCACAGTCCTAAAAGGTAGGCAGTGGTTAATATGTTTCATGTATTGGATGGTAGGTATATTTCCTGTATTGGGACAAAGGGTCCTTAGTAAAATCCACAACCCCCCCCCGCTTGACTTCTATTTGTTTAGAAAATGTCACTGATTCTCCTAAATTACCCTCAGCTTTGTTCCTACAGTGCACTGTAAATTTGCAGCTTTTCACTACTTCATAGCAGGATAACTGACATCTTTTATCTCTCAGGAAATCTCTACTTGTAACTGCAAAACTTGCATCCTGTATAGTTTTGTCCTGGGAACTTGATACTATAAAAATTGTCCATCCGTCCATTCGTCCGTCCGTCTGTCCGTCCGTCCGTCCGTCCGTCCGTCCGTCCGTCCGTCCCTCCCTCCCTCCCTCCCTCCCTCTATCTATCTATCTATCTATCTATCTATCTATCTATCTATCTATCTATCTATCTATCTATCTATCTATCTATCTATCTATCTGATTTTTACCTTTCCTTTCACCTAAAAAAGGACCCAACATGTTTTACATGATTAAAAACACATTAAAAGCTAAAAACAGCAAATTATTCAAATGTTAAAGAATTAATAACATTTTTTTAAAAAAAAAAATTGAAACCAACAAAATATAAACCACACTGTTTATTGTCTCCTAGACAATCACTCAGTCAGGGAAAGCCTGCCTGAAGAGAAAGGTCTTTGCATTCTTGTGAAAGGCCAGCAAAGATTGGGCCAATCTGACTTCCCGTGGGAGGACGTTCGTGCATATTTCTCTGGACACCCACTCCAGAGATTCATTGGGGAAGGAATTCTTGAGCACACAGTCTCAGATTACTCATCCTCCTCCCCAACCACCCCCATATGTGCACTGGTTCTTAGGAAGGAGCAGAATCCTTCCAAATGAGAAGTAACCAAGAACAGAACATGTTGAATTGAGGAACTAGTTCAGGGTTGGTTCTCCCCTTAAACAAAACAGGTCTCAGGCAGCAGATCTTGGCTGTCAAGGAAGAACAGCAAATCCTTACCTATTTTATCCATCAGGGTGTTTGTTTGCTTGGTTGCTTAATTGTCAGATATGGAGAAAACTGCTTTTCTGCCTCATTTATCTAAACCATTTGGCTGGTTTGGGGTAATAAGCATTTTGACAGATGGACGGTATCATTTACTGTTCTACCTCCAGCAGCAAAACATCTCTGCCCAACTTTGCGAAGAGAAACATTAAGACGATTCATTAAATCAACAAACTCCTGGCGGCAGAAGAGTCAGTATCCTGTCCCTGAGTATTGAGCTGGGACTTAACTAAATCTGGGTTCAAGCCCCTGGGGAGTTGTGAAACGGAAGTTGGGCTAGCCACGCCTGGCATTTTTTAAAAATTTATTTGTTTGGAAGGGTAGGTAGGGTTGGGAGCAGGAAAAGCGTGTTGAGAACCGTTGCAGAAATAGCCTGATTTACAAATGTCCCTATTAACTAATAAATAAAATGCAGAAATACAGATACAAGAAAATGTACTCGAAAGCCAGGAGAAAAGAAAAAAAGATTCTCTGTGAGTTGGGTTCATGACAGCAATCAAGGAAATGCTTGGAAAGAAAGTATACCAAAATTTTTGGCTACAATCTGTGATTCCACCCTCAAGCAGGTTTTTTCCCCCCCTGGTGCATCTGATAGCAACAGTACACAAATCCGCATTTAACAGCAGCAACGTATGATTTATTACTCCTTTCTCTGATGCGTCTGAACCAGGAAATTCATCACAAGAGGGATGGTGTCTATGGGGATCTGATCTTATTAGAGACTGGAAGAAAAAAATCCCTTCCTTGCATCAGATCTAAAGCTGAATTCAGGGGAAGGGGTAGGAATTTATTATCTGCTGTCAAGCATGTATTACAGACGGTCACAAAGCAAAAACCAGAACACATCAGAACACAGGAAGTTTCTTCATCAGACACGCCTCGTCCAGGGTCACCACCTCTGCAGAAACAGCTCTCCAGAATATCAGGAAGGGTTATTTCCCTGATATTCCGCTGTGTTTTCCAATCAAAGTAAAAGGAAACAGGCTAAAACATGGGCAGTAGTCCCAGAGCAAAGGTTGGCAACTGTGGCCCTTCCAGATGCTGTTACACATCAGGCTTAGCCAACATAGACAAAAAAAGAGAAATTGTTGGGATTTGAAGTCCAACAAAGAGCCCTGTGGTGCAGTGGTTAAACCGCAGATGACTGTGCCAACCACAACAAACTATGGCAAGTCCTTAAAGAAATGGGAGTGCCTGACCACCTTATCTATCTCCTGAGAAATGTATACATGGGACAGGAAGCAACAGTTAGAACTGGATACGGAACAACTGATTGGTTCAAAATTGGGAAAGGAGTACGACAAGGCTGTATATTGTCTCCCAGCTTATTCAACTTATATGCAGTATACATCATGCGGAAGGCTGGACTGGAGGAATCCCAAACCAGAATTAAGATTGCTGGAAGGAATGTCAACAACCTCAGATATGCAGATGATACCACTCTGATGGCAGAAAGTGAAGAGTAATTAAAGAACCTCTTAATGAGGGTGAAAGAGGAGAGCGCAAAAAACAGTCTGAAGCTCAACATCAAAAAAACTAAGATCATGGCCACTGGTCCCATCACCTCCTGGCAAATAGAAAGGGAAGATATCGAGGCATAGACAGATTTTACTTTCTTGGGCTCCATGATCCCTGCAGATGGTGACAGCAGCCACAAAATTAAAAGACACCTGCTCCTTGGGAGGAAAGCAATGACAAATCGAGACAACATGTTAAAAAGCAGAGATGTCATCTTGCCGATAAAGGTCCGCATAATCAAAGTGATGGTTTTTCCTGTAGTGAGGTATGGAAGTGAGAGCTGGAGCATAAAAAGGGCTGACTGCTGAAGAATTGATGCTTTTGAATTGTGGTGCTGGAGGAGACTCTTGAGAGTCCCCTGGACTGCAAAGAGAACAAACCTATCCATTTTGAAGCGAATCAACCCTGAGTGCTCATTGGAGGGACAGATCCTGAAGCTGAGGCTCCAATACTTTGGCCATCTCAAGAGAAGACTCCCTGGAAAAGACCCTGATATTGGGAAAGTGTGAGAGCAAGAGGAGAAGGGGACGACAGAGGACGAGATGGTTGGACAGTGTCATTGAAGCAACCAACATGAATTTTACCCAACTCCGGGAGGCAGTGGAAGACAGGAGGGCCTGGCGTGCTCTGGTCCATGGGGTCACGAACAGTCGGACACGACTTAATGACTAAACAAGAACAACTGCAGTCAAGCCTCTGCTCATGGCCTGAGTTCAAACCTGACATATTCAGGTAGCAGGCTCCAGGTTTACTCAGCCTTCTGTCCTTCCATCAGCCTTCTATGGGGCCATATATAAGCCGAAACAACAACAGCATCTAAAAGGTCACACATTACCTATCCAAGGGCTATGGAGACTTTATATCATTGTAGCTGCAAACTTCCCTTTCTAAATGATCAGCAGATTTTAAACATTGGTATAAATGCAGACTCCTACTCAGACCTTGGAATTAACTAGTTACAAGTTACCTAGTTGCCTTACCTTGTTGCTTTTTGATTATAAGGCTGCCATTTCACAAGTAACACAACTAATTAGTAGAGCTTGAAAATGTTACTTTTTGGGCTACAACTTCCAGAATTCCGCAGCCAGCATGAGGGGGCGTTCCATGAGTTGTAGCCACAAAAGAATAATGATTCTAAAGCTCCGATCCTGACTGGCAAAGGAAATACTAGTTTGTTTCATCATATGTGTGTGTGTTTTTTTTAAAATACATTCCCGGTGAGTGCAATCTTAGAAAACGGGCCACAAGACGGTTGTTCCTTATTTGTCTGTCTTGCAGATAAGAATTCCTTTTGTGAACAGAGCAATACGGATCGTGGCCATCTAGCTCTCCGAAAAGGAGAGGTTGGCCCAAAGTGGCCTTTAAGATGAAGAGGAGGAGGAGGAAGGTTCCAGGCTGTGATCTTACCTCCAGAGAGATGCTTTCTTCCAGATGAGGATAAAATGTGAAGGGATGTTGGGTGAGGCAGTCCTCCGTCTCCATGACGCAGCCCATCCTGGCGACCATCCTTGGGCTGAGCTTGGAGACGGAGCCCTGGGGCTTCCTTCTTAGCATCCTCGCGGCCTTCTGCTGTGCGCTGCTGAGGTCTTCCCTGATCCCAGGCAGGATTGCAGGATCAGACCACTTCGTATGTTGAATGAGGACATGATCACACAGAGGAGGAAAGTCGTATCTGAAATCATCCAGGCCGTTCTGCAGGAACCGCCAGCGTTGGCTGTTCAGGGAGTCAGAGAGTCTAGATTTCTTAGCGGTGTGTTTTTGAAAGCGCTTGGATGGCATGTTCGCTTTTTGTGCCTGAAAAGACAGACATCACTGCTAAGCTTATTACTACTTTTCTTTTTTGCTTCTTTTGCAGGAAGCTAACTCAAAATGGTTCAGTAGGTGATACTCTTCCTAAATTTCGATTCTTTTCCCCCTTCCCTACTGTTCTCAGATTAGCCCAGACGAATGGGCTAATGCCCCTGCTAGTTGAGGGATTCTGAGAGTCGTAGTTCAAATAATTCTACATCTTTGTAGTTTCCCTGTGACTTCACTCCATGCCAAATGCTCACTGCCCACAAAAAAAAAAAAACAACTGCCCATGTGCATAAAATAAAGAAGCACATATTCATGAAGTCAAAGGTCCTGCTGATATCAATTATATGCTATAATCCTGTAATTTATGAATGACTGTTTTGGTCATTCATAAATTTGGTTTTGGTCATTCATAAATTTTGGTCAAGCAAACCAGATATCGTTTTAATAGCAAATCAAATACATTTTTAATTTTGCTGTCTGCAGCTGCTGTTGTGCTGGCCATAGTGCCTTATATGCAGAAATCATGTGAGATACCTTCCCTTGATACAAAAGACAGGAATCATAGCCTACACATTTCTGCAGGCTTAGTTTCTGTTAAAGGCAGAGCTACAGGGGCTGGCTGAAAAGTTGGCAACCTGTGTTTACTGTTTTTTGGTGCATTCACAATCAGAGGGGAAGAGAATGCCAAGACAGCTGCAGTCCCAGCTGTTGGGGTTTTATAGAAGAATGGGAATATTAGAAGCATCCTCAGTCAGTTGATTCTTAAATAGTAATAGTAAGAGCTAAATAACTAATATATACCTTACGTGAAGCTCTAGAATTGAACAGAGAAAAAAGTAACAAAAAAATTGTACTGTAAAACGATATGTGGGGAGAAAAAGCATTTAAAGTCTTTTTCAACAACTTCCTACCAAGTAAGTTAAGGATTGCAACCTTATTTTTTAGCTAGAGAGTTAATAAAAAAAATAAACACTAGCTGTTCAAAGTAGCAAAATGCTACATACACCCTAAGATCTAAATCCGAATCACTTTTACAAAGTCAAACCTGTACAAAGCTCTCCTAAAACATAGTTCTTGGTTCCTGGGTCGCTGGCTTCTGATTCTTCATAAAACTCAAAACACGGCGTCTTTGTCTTGAGGAAGAGAGGTGGCTGATGGTTTTCCTGGCAGAGTTAAGCACAGGTTCGAGATGGTGTGTTAGGGATCGGTCGTTGTGGCAACCCCCTTTCTGACCGGCTTATTCATTCACTCATGGCAGCAGATTTTGTCCATGCACAAACAAACCAGATCGTTCTGTATCTTGAAGTGTGAAAGCACAGCCTGAGAAAATTAAGAGAAGAAAATAACACTTTAGAAAATATTTTCAATTGCATTTTTTTAAATTTTAAATGCAGTGGAGAAAGTGTGTAGGGGGGGCAGAAGAAAAAGCAAGTAAAATACACAGGATATAATTACACAGCAATGTAAGCTGGCATCTGTCTCAAAACAGATTTGCTTGGAGTAGGCATTAGTCATGTAGATCATTGAGCCTGGATAACTCCCCGTTTCTGTCCCACTGCATTCTGAACTGGCTGCTGGTGTCAGAAGCAGGAACCCGGCTGATGGTAGCCGCATTTCCAGAGGGTGGGTGAGAGGAAGGTTTTCAGGACCTGGGGTGCAAAGCAGGTGAGCGTTCAGGGTGGACATGCACAGCCATGGATAAGGGGAGAAGGGAAGGGGTTCCACTGATGAAGGCTGGATCAGCAGATCAGTCCACCCCCACCCCCCGTGATGAATCTGCATGGTTTGGACAGCCACCCAGAAAAATAAATCCCCCCCACTCCACAACACAGTGATTTTAAATCCCATGTAGTCCCCTGCACCTATACACTGCACAGTTTAAAACTGAATTACAGATTGCCCCATTAGGATACACACACCAGCACGAAGACCGTGTGATTTTAAACCAACTTCAAATAACTTGATCCAGCTTTTGATTCATGTCATGTCTGTAACCATGCTCTCAATCTAAACTTTTACCTGTTGAATAGTGGCTGGGGGAGGCCGTATATGTCTTTCCATATTTTATGCAATATAAATCTGCCTTGACTCTGCTGATCTCAAGAACTGTATAGTTCTGTGCATTAATGGAGTGCGCTGCTTGGGTTTGTCAGATTGCACTGCATGACTGCACACTGCAAACTCAAATATCTGTTGCGGTCCGGCACCTGTTCTGCTCACCACCTTTGGCTGGCATTGCCACCTGTACCAGCTGCCACCTGGGTCTCCCCAGATGCTCTTTGACTGCCAGGCATCTGTCTGCTCCCAGTCCCATGTACTCTAAGCCAGCAGCACTTCTGGAGCCTCCCCTTGGGGTCAGGGTGGCCAGATGTCCTCCTTTAGGAAAGGCAGTCCTTCCTTCCAAGGACGGCCAGAGGAAAATCCACCTTTAAATGTGTCCTCCATTGGAAGCACTGTCTAGTCCAAGCCTGATTTAAAGATAAAGAACTAAAGAACCCTCTTGAAGATGTCCAGCAGCGAGCAGCACCTTGACCACATACTCAATAGCCAGATAGATCACCTGGCCTCTGTCTTCCCCACTTGGAGAAGATACACCACAAACCTGTTTGCATTCTAAAAACATTTTGCATCTATATATAGAAATTAGCCAGCTCCATGAGCTGGGTACATGGCTGCAGAGCCAGACCCTGGGTGTTCAATTCCCCACTGTGCCTCTTTGGAGAAAAGCCAGTCCATCTGGCTTTGGGCAGGGTGCCCCCCAGAAGAAGGGGATGATGAAACACTTCTGTCCTGTTTGCATTCTGAAAACCCTGAAAACGGTGGTCATACGTTAAAATTGATTTGAGGATTGTTGTTGTTGTTGTTGTTGTTGTTGTTGCTGTTTAGTCATTAAGTTGTGTCCGACTCTTCGTGACCCCATGGACCAGAGCACGCCAGGCCCTCCTCTCTTCCACTCCCTCCCGGAGTTGGGTCAAATTCATGTTGGTCGCTTCGATGACCCTGTCCAACCATCTCGTCCTCTGTCGTCCCCTTCTCCTCTTGCCTTCACACTTTCCCAACATCAGGGCCTATTCCAATTATTATTATAGAAATTTGTGGCTGACATACTTTTGTGTAGGGTTGACAATACAATCCGTCACAGTGATTTATGAGAAATAAATCATTTCTGATTTCTTCTTCAGAGGTCTCAAGGTTCCCGTGGGATCCCTCACGCTCCCCACACCACTCAGCCCATGATTTCCCTGCTTATCTTCGTAGGAACACCCTCACCCCTTCCGTTCGGATCCTAGGCTGCCTTCAAACCTCACTTCTGCTCCTTGCTGGAGGGGCCATTGGGTTGTGTCCCCCTCCCCAAGCTGTTCAAGGCCCAGGGGTGCCTTCTTTTTTGAAACACAGAGGGGACTTCCCAGCGGCTGATGGCGGGACAAGGCTAACTACAGGGCAACAAGACCGGGTGGTTTGAGATTTTTTAAACTGAGTTTTGTTCTCTAGTCTGCGTTTATAATTAAACAATCTGGAAAAAATCCCTTTGCCTTGATTTCTAATAATGCTACCGTTTAGAAGAACACTGTCTCTATTGTTGGGAAAAACCCCTGCTCTTACAGCCTGGCCAATTTAGCAAAGAACAATGTTAATTACGACCCACAGGAAGCATTGGCTGTGTCACCCAGCTGTTTTGGAATTAGTGTCCACCGCCTCTTCAGAACACCCAGAAGGAGAAGTGGAAGTGCACATGGTCTGGGGTGCGGAGATAAGAAACACTTGCCAGATCTCATTAGAGAAGAGGTCTTGGATGGAAGTTGGAATAAAGCAAAGTTCTGTCTGCACACAAAGCTCTTTTGCAGCAATGCCCACCTCCCATTTGTACGTGTGAGATTTTGTTTGTTTCTGGCAGGAGATAATTTTGTCCAAAGCAGCTGCACGCTAAATCAAATATTCATGCCTTTACCCCCTCCCTGGGCAAAAGGCCGCTGAGAAAGGGTGGTTTCCTGGCTTTAAAACAGATTGCCACAAACAGACGAAGGCTCTTCCCCAGCCGCCACCTCAGAAAACTTCCAATCCAGTTTATGATGCTTTCATTGGACTTGACGCCCTACCTCACCATCTGCATGTTTGCACCTTAGCTTCCAAAAGGTTATTGTTATAAGAAAACAAATTAACCCGAGAACCTGAAAAATGCCGCAAAGTACAGGATAAAAGTCGGTCAATGAAACCAAAGCGTGAAGCAGCACAAAAGTGGGTGGATTAAAAAGCCAGATGAAAATCCACACGACGGAGTGAGCGCCCGTCGCTTGTCCCAGCTCCCGCCAACCTAGCGGTTTGAAAGCATGCAAATGCGAGTAGGTTAATAGGGACCACCTCGGTGGGAAGGTAACAGCGTTCCGTGTCGAAGTCGCACTGGCCATGTGACCACGGAAGATTGTCTTCGGACAAATGCTGGCTCTATGGCTTGGAAACGGGGATGAGCACTGCCCCCTAGAGTCAGAATACGACTGGACAAAAAAATTGTCAAGGGGAACCTTTACCTTTACCTTTACCTTTTTATGAAAATAAAAAGGCTGCTGAGGGTTGAAGTTAAAGCAAGGTCATCATCATCATCGTCATTATAGCAAGCTTTCTTCTGGGCAGCATTTCATATGTATGGTGCTACGACTGAGTTGCTCCTTTCCCCCTCGGCCATCTCGAAGGCTGCAGAACACGGACCAGCATATCTGGAGACATGCAGTCATTTTAATCCGGATACAGTAATAGCTTCATACAGGTATGCAGTATTCCAGCATCCATATATTTACATGTCTTCATAACAGTGCGCACGCGTGTGTGAGTGTGAGGTGCTATGACTGAGTTGCTCCTTTCCCCTTCAGCCATCTCGAAGGCTGCAGAACACGGACCAGCATATCTGGAGACATGCAGTCATTTTAATCCGGATACAGTAATAGCTTCATACGGGTATGCAGTATTCCAGCATCCATATATTTACATGTCTTCATAACAGTGACCCAACTCCGGGAGGCAGTGGGAGACAGGAGGGCCTGGCGTGCTGTGGTCCATGGGACAGGAGTTCAATTCTTCCTTGTTCCTCCCTGGAGAAAAGACACCCTGTGTAGCCTTGGGCAAGCTGCATTGTTCCCGAGCATCCCCAGGGAATGGTAACACCCTTTCTGAGTACTTAATAAGTAGAAAACACTGAGATTGGCTTGAGGGCACATGATTTTTACTAGGAAGGAGGAGAAGGAGGAGGAAATAGGATTTCATCCCCCCCCCCCGAGCTTTATAGAAAAATAGCTTGGGGGAGGGTGTGTGTGAATATATTGATACAATATGTGATTCCTAGGATATGATTCCTAACATATTTCAACCCAATATTTTGGCGTGCAGTTTCAATGTGAGGAACTCCTGCGCCAACACCATGTGGGGGCATGGAGCTCAAGAGCATATTTTTTGTTGCATCCAGTCTCATCTGTGTTTATGGCCTTTGTTGCATGAAGGACACGTTCAGAACTTTGCAATGTTCATTCTGTTTGCAATATCTCGCAGCTTGAAGTCTGTGGTACTCAAGGGTCCAGATTACACCTAGCAACACACTGAAGCATATAATTCCTGCCTTGGGTATCTAAGTGTCCTTCCTTGAGCATGATGGGCCTGGTCTCTTTGCTTGCTTGCATGTTTTTTTTTAAAGGTATGGATTTTCTGCACATTTCACATTGGATGTAGTGTGTAATTTAGCCTCCTGCTGCCTGCATTTTAGGAGCCTTCTGTGATTGTGGAGACAGTCTGGAAGAGCGGCTGCACATCAAAATATAGTCCTACAGGACTGACACTGGACAGACACGGCTAGCATGGCATCGACATGACAGTTATGGCATTTATACTCTCACATAGTAGGCAATTCAGCAAAGGACAGGATGAAACCATCAAATGGAAGCAGAAAGATTATCCTGGTGGCAAGGGAATCTTCACCATCACTCACTTTTACGGCAGACAGTGTTCCTGTGTTGTTAGTTGCAGCCATATAGGAGAGGCGAAGGTTCACGGGGGGCAGCCTTTCCCCACCTAGTAGAATTGGTTCCCTCAAAGATGCCAAGGCAAAGAGAAGCTTTGAGAAATGTGTTCCAAATGGAGGAGATTGTGTAACCAAAATATTTGAGGGCTAGAACCTTAACCTGCCAGAATGAGTTGTCTCTGTAAAATGCTCATTAGGGTATTCATGACATGTGAAAAGGACTGATCAAATGTTCGTGCCAATTAGTAGTCTGGCAACTACCTGCATGAGTTCAAGGCTCCACGGGACCTAAGTAATGTATGACTGAA